CAGTCCCAGTCCAGTTCCTGGTCCTGATGCCTGGTCCCAGTCCAGTGCCCAGTCCCAGTCCAATTCCTGGTATTGGTGCCCCAGTCCCAGTTTGATGCCCAGTCCCAGTCCAGTTCCTGGTCCTGATGCCCCAGTCCCAGTCCAATGCCCAGTCCCAGTCCAGTTCCTGGTCCTGATGCCCCATCCCAGTCTGATGTACTGATCCCAGTCCAATTCCTGGTCCTGGTGCCCCAGTCCCAGTCCAATTCCTGGTACTGGTGCCCCAGCCCCAGTCCAATGCCCAGGCCCAGTCCAGTTCCTGGTCCTGATGCCCCATCCCAGTCTGATGCACTGGTCCCAGTTTGATGCCCTGTACCAGTCCAATTCCTGGTACTGGTGCCAGGTCCCAGTCCAATCTCTGGTCCTGATGCCCCATCCCAGTCTGTTGCACTGATCCCAGTCCAGTTCCTGGTTCCCCATCCCAGTCCAATGCCTGGTCCCAGTTCAATTCATGGTCCTGGTGCCCCATCCCATTCTGATGCCCTGTCCCAGTCCCAGTGTGATGCTCAGTCCCAGTCCAATTCCTGGTCCTGGTGTCTGGTCTCAGTCCAATGCCCAGTCCCAGTCCAATGCTGGATCCCAGTCTAATGTCCAGTCTTGGTGACCTGTCCCAGTCTGTTGCACTGGTCCCAGTCCAATTCCTGGTACTTGTGCCCCGTCCCAGTTTGATGTACTGGTCCCAGTCCAGTTCCTGGTCCTGATGCCCAGTCCTAGTCCAATTCCTGGTACTGGTGCCCCAGCCCCAGTCCAATGCCCAGTCTCAGTCCAGTTCCTGGTTCCCCATCACAATCTGATGCACTGGTCCCAGTCCAATGCCCTGTCCCAGTCCCAGTTCAATGCCCTATCCCAGTCCAATGACTGGTACTGGTTCCCCATCCCAGTCTGTTGCACTGGTCCCAGTCCAATTCTTGGTCCTGGTGCCCCAGCCCCAGTCCAATGCCCAGTCCCAGTCCAGTTCCTGGTTCCCCATCACAATCTGATGCACTGGTCCCAGTCCAATGCCCTGTCCCAGTCCCAGTTCAATGCCCTATCCCAGTCCAATGACTGGTACTGGTTCCCCATCCCAGTCTGTTGCACTGGTCCCAGTCCAATTCTTGGTCCTGGTGCCCCAGCCCCAGTCCAATGCCCAGTCCCAGTCCAGTTCCTGGTTCCCCATCCCAGTCTGATGCACTGGTCCCAGTTTGATGCCCAGTTCAATTCCTGGTCTTGATACCAGGTCCCAATCCAATCTCTGATCCCAGTCCAATGCCTTGTCCCAGTCCCAGTTTGATGCCCTATCCCAGCCCAATTACTGGTACTGGTGCCAGGTCCCAGTCTGATATACTGGTCCCAGTTCGATACCCCGTCCTAGTCTCAGTTTGATGCCCAGTCCCAGTCTAATTCCTGGTCCCTGTGCCCCCTCCCGGTCTGAGGCACTGGTCCCAGTCTGATGCCCTGTCCCAGTCCCAGTTTGATGCTTGGTCCCCATCCAGTGCCCAGTCCCAGTCCAATTCCTGGTACTGATGCCCAGTCCCAGTCCAATGCCCTGTCCCAGTCCCAGTTTGATTCCCAGCCCAATACCTGGTACTGGTGCTCTATCCCAGTCTGTGGCACTGGTCCCAGTCCAGTTCCTGGTCCTGGTTCCCCATCCCAGTCCAATGCACTGGTCCCAGTCCAATGCCCTGTCCTAGTCCCAGTCTGATGCCCAGTCCCAGTCCAATCCCTGGTCCTCGTGCCCCGTCCCAGTCTGTTGCACTGGTCCCAGTCTGATATCCTGTCCCAGTCCAGTTCCTGGTACTGGTGTGTGGTCCCAGTCTGATGCTCAGTCCCAGTCCAATTCCTGGTACTGGTCCCTGGTCCCAGTCCAATGCCCCATCCCAGTCCTACATCCCAGTCCCAGTTCAGTCCCCATCCCAGTCCCTATCCCAGTCCCAGTCCCCTTCCCAGTTTCAGTCCCCATCCTGGTCCATCCCATCCCAGTCCAATGCCCCATCCCAATCCCGTCCCAGTCCCAGTCCCATCTGTCCCATGCCCCATCCCAGTCCATCCCAGTCCCTATCCCAGTCCCCTGCCTGGTCCCAGTCCATCCCAGTCCCAGTCCCCATCCCCGACCCATCCCAGTCCAATCCCAATCCCAGTCCCCTCTCCATCCCAATCCTGTCACATCCCAGTCCCAGTCCTCATCCCAGTTCATCCCAGTCTCCTTCCCGATTTCAGTCCCCATCCCAGTCCATCCCATCCCATTCAGTCCAATGCCCCATCCCAATCCCATCCCAGTCCCAGTCCCATCTGTCCCATGCCCCATCCCAGTCCATCCCAGTCCCTATCCCAGTCCCCTGCCTGGTCCCAGTCCCTATCCCAGTCCCCATCCCAGACCCATCCCATGCCCATCCCAGTCCAGTTCCAGTCCCATCTCCATCCCAGTCCCATCCCCATCCCCATCCCAATCCCGTCACATCCCAGTCACACATCCATCCCAGTCCCAGTCCTCATCCCAGTCCATCCCAGTCCATCCCAGTCCACCCATTTTGGTCCCAGCACCCGCACTGGTTCCCCTTCCTGCAGAATCCACCAACACCTCGGAGCTGCGGATCTGCCGGATGAACAAAGAGAGTGGCCCCTGCACGGGGGGCGAGGAGCTCTACCTGCTGTGTGACAAGGTCCAGAAAGGTACTGGGACAAACTGGGATCCACTGGGAGCCAACTGGGAACACCCAGGGCCCAGTTACCCCCTGGGGGAGCCAGGATTTGGGTGGGGGGAAAAAGGAGAGTGCTGGGATGGGACCAGTTGAGGTCACTGGGAGCTGCTCCCTCCTGCAGGGTCCTGAGCACCCCTGGGTGCTGGGGGGGTCCTATGGGTGCTATGGGGGGGAATAAGGGGGTCCCACAGCCTGTGCTATAGGGGGAGGACCCCAAATTGCTGTGGGGAGACCCTGGGGTGCCATAGAGAGGGGAAAGGGGGCAACCTTGGGGTGCTATGGGAGGACCTTGGGGTGTTGATGGGGATATTGGGTGGTATTGGGGGTCCCATGGGTGCTATGGGGGGGAATAAGGGGGTCCCACACCCTCTGCTATAGGGGAGGACCCCAAATAGTGATGGAGAGACCTTGGGTGCCATAGAGAGGGGAAAGGGGGCAACCTTGGGGTGCTATGGGAGGACCTTGGGGTGTTGATGGGGATATTGGGTGGTATTGGGGGTCCCATGGGTGCTATGGGGGGGAATAAGGGGATCCCACACCCTCTGCTATAGGGGAGGACCCCAAATTGCAATGGGGAGACCCTGGGTGCCATAGAGAGGGGAAAGGGGAGACCTTGGAGTATCAAGGGGGGACCTTGAGGTGCCAAGGGGAGGCCTTGGGGTACCAAGGGAAGACTTCAGGGTGCCAAGGGGAAACCTTAGGGTGCCGGGGGATGTTCCCCCAAATTTGAGGGGGTGCCTTTCCCCCCCCTCCCCCCGTGCAGAGGACATCGCGGTGGTTTTCCGGCGGGAGGCGTGGGAGGCGCGGGCGGATTTCTCGCAGGCCGACGTGCACCGCCAGGTCGCCATCGTCCTCAAGACCCCCCCGTACCGGCAGCTGGAGCTGGAGGCCCCCGTGGAGGTGGAGGTTTTCCTGCAGCGCCTCACCGACAGCGTCTGCAGCGACCCCTTCCGCTTCACCTACCTGCCCCGAGACCACGGTGAGGGCTGGGGGGAGGCTGCAGGACCCATAGCAGGGGAATGGGACCCATAGGAGTGTGGGGATGGACCCCTGAGATGGGGATGGGACACTTGGGTTTGGGATATGGCCCAAGGGATGGGGATGGGGGCCTGGGTTTGGGGACAGGAGCCTGGGATGAGAGCCATGGGATGGGGATGGGAGACCAAGGATGGGACCCTAGGGATGGGGACAGGACCCTGAGATGGGGATGGGACCCTTGGGTTTGGGATGTGGTCCAGGGGATGGGGATGGGACCCCTGAGATGGGCATGGGGGCCTGGGACTGGGGACAGGAGCCTGGGATGGGACCCATGGGATGGGAATGGGACACTTGGGTTTGGGATGTGGCGCAAGGGATGGGGACAGGACCCCAAGGATGGGACCCAGGGAGTGGGGATGGGAGCCCCAGGATAGGGATGGGACCCTCGAGATGGGACTCATGGGGTGGGAATGGGACCCATGGGATGGGGATGAGACCTCGGGGTTTGGGGGCAGGACCCCAGGGTGGGACCCATGGGGTGGAGATGGGACCCCTACAGTAGGGATGGAGTCCCGGGTTTGGGATGGGACCCATGGGATGGGATCCATGGGGTGATGGGACCCATGGGATGGGATCCATGGGGTGATGGGACCCATGGGTTGGGGATGGGATCCTGGGTTTGGGATGTGGTGCAGGGTTTGGAGATGGGACCCCTGAGATGGGAGCCATGGAATGGGCATGGGAGCCCAAGGATGGGACCCTTGGGGTGGGGAGAAGAGCCTGGGG